ACCACAATTCCATGGTCAGCCGGCTGCTTAAGGGGTGGTGCACACTTCCCGCACCATACAAGCAATCAGATGCTCTATACCAGTGGTTCTCAACCTGTGTAACCTCAGGACCCACATTTGTCCTCTGTCATTAAGTTGAGACCCAAGTCGTATCGCAATGGAACGCACGGCAGTGTGGGCTGCTGTGCTGGAGCTCCATTCATATGTGCATTGCTTGCACAGCTCCCATGTGTGCCCGTAGAGTAGCTGGGAGCCAGAATGTGATGTCACTCCAGTCCAGGCACCTCTACAGGACATGCAATGGAGCTACAGTATAAGCAATGTACATATGGATGGAGCTCCCTCATGGCCATACCCCCAGCCCACCCCACCTCAAGTCGACACTCGGCACCGGGCAGCATATTTTGAATGGCTGCTTGGTGTAAGAATGGACAGTTCTGCGCTAGGGGGAGGCTGAGTAGGCTCTCACCTAGAAAAGTGGAAGGCATATGGCGACCCACTGAGCAAGGGGTCGCGACCCACTTTTGGGTCACAACCCACCAGTTGAGAACCAAGGCTCTATACACACCCAAATGCTTGTATGTAACAGCTGTCGGCGGCTCTGTAAACATTAGTTCAAGTTTTGCACGCTCGCTCACTCACTCGCACACACTCGCCCTCTCTCTCTCGCCATTTAATGACAACAGACAGAAGGTAAATGGTTAAACCAGCTGCTATCAAGTTTAGCAGATTTTAATCTGGTTTCTAGCAGTGCTGAATCTATCGGCTTGTTTAAAGTAACAGTTTGTGAGCAGAGATCTTAAAAGAAATGCAATCTCCAGAGTGAAGCTGAAGGGAGCTTTACAAATCTTCAATGAAGCTGCGAAAAGCTTTGCAAATCCTCCTGTGCACGCGGCTCTTATACAAACTAAAGGTTGTGTGTGCAATTCTTCACAGACACAGCCAGGCAGGTATTTATTACATATTTAAGTGTACTTGGCTTTATTTACCTCTGTGCGGACCACATGATAAGGTGCATGTGGGAAATGAAATCTTGGGTGCTGATTCTCAAAAGAGCAAAACTTCAGTTCAAAGATTATTTTCAGGCAGATAGACAATTCACAAATGAATGCAGTTCTGTGTTCATTAATACATAATGACATTTATTTTATTTAATGAAGCTGCGTACACGCTTGAATTTGATAATGCCCCTGTACAGCAGAGCTTAGATTGGGAGAGGAAGAAGCAGCCCAAGGAGCCAAGCAGTTCTTATGTACTAAAAGAAGCATGCTGATGGGCAGAAGGAAGAGTGGCAGAGATGAGTTTGTGCTTCTCTTTTCACTGTCCAGTCACAGGCCCATGGATGAACAAAACATGCGTATCTCTGTCGTAGGCATTCATTTCAGGAACAGTCTCCCCATAAATCTGCAAAAAAATAATAAGTCCAGGTGACTAGACTTGCGGTATTTTTCTTGAAGACGTTTCACCGGTCATCCAACCAGTTTTCTCGATTTGTGATTCCCTGGGAAAAAATATGGTGAATGTCTCCCCATAAGATTATATGTGCATGTAGTTTATGTTATTTACATGTATAAGTCTCCTGTGTGTAGACATCCAAAAGCCCTGAGATTGCTGCTGGGCATTGTCACCTAGATGTGATGTCTGCAACCCCAGATGACTGGATGACACGTGTTCTTCATTCCTCACCTGGCAGCTACCTATAGGGTTGCAGGGAGGGGTGGAAGAGCTGGGTCAGCACAGACCATAATTAGACACTCCATTGACCTGAACGGAGGCCGTGGCTTTTGTCAGAACAGTTCCGGTAGAACTTTGATGTTATATATTTATATGCTATGCCCAGATTACTGGAAGGATAGAAAAGGTGCAAGCTCTGCCTCTTTGGAATAGATGGTCGTTTTGCATATTAGATCTCAAGTTCAGAAGCTAAACCCCTGGCTTTGGCTTATGACATTTTAGGTTTTTTTTAAAGGGATTTTCATAATTTATGAATTAAAATTGGTCCGATTGATGTAGCTTTTGTGTTGAAGGCTGGAAACGCAACAAGATGAACAGAGGGACATCCCAGAATCATGCCAATGACTTGTAAAGTGGAATTGCAGTTCCAGAGAAATACTCTTTGTTTTTACCTCCTGTCACCCCCATTACCCGTCTGATGAAGATACAAGTGCAGACCTTGAATGCTGCGGCCTACACAGTGCAATATTCTGAAAAGTCAAACGTACTCGGCCTAGTACGTGAATTCACATGTAGAACAATTGATCGATGGAACAGATTTCTTCCTTATAGCTTATTGCCCAACTGGTGGGTGGTGACCCCGCGTTCAGTCGGTCACTGTGTGTCTTCCACTTTTCTAGGTGAGAGACTCCTCAGCCTTCCCCTAGCGCAGCAATGTGACTTCTCGCACCTAGCAGCCATTGAAAATATGATGCCCGTTGCTGAGTGTCTGCTTGAGGTGGGGTGGGCCTGGGGTTTGGCCGCAACTGAGCTCCATCCATATGTGCATTGCTTACAGCTCCCTCGTGGTGCCTGAGCCAAATGAATGTCACATTCTGCAGCTCCCATGCGGCACCTCTAAAGGTGCGCATGGGAGCTGTACAAGCAATGCGCATATGGATGGAGCTCTGTCACAGCACTGCAGCCCACACTGGACCCCAGGCTAAGGATCTACTCCAGTTATCGTAAGGTATGTCGACTGGGTTAAAGATCAAGAAAAAAAATGTATGTGTGTGAGAGAATGTGTCTTTGGTTGTGTGTCTGTGGTTTTGAGGGCCCGTTCACAATAGTACAGTGTGTTAATCGCACAGTCCCATGCGATTAACACACTGTACCATGAAATTGCACCTCCCGTGCGTTCTGTTGTGGGAGGTGCGTTGCATTGCCATTCATTTGAATGGCACCCCAAACGCATTTCCCACCCACAGTTTGATCGCCTGCACTGGAACGTGCGGTACCGCAATGCTGTGCATTCCAGTGCAGTGCGACTTGGGTCACGACTTATTGACGGAGAACAAATGTGGGTCCTGAGGTTACACAGGTTGGGAACCACTGTTTTATAGTATGTCAAGCCAAAAACTTTTTCCTATTTTCAGCAGTGGGGAAAGATTTGAACCTCTGCTGGGTCTTACTGCCCTCTGGGGGTCAGTTAAAGAGTACTTTCTGTCTTGCAGACAACAATGTCACTTTTGAGTATAACAAAATCAGAATACTGTATCTGTCAGGGATCAGGGTTTTAAACACACAGATAGTGATATTGGTTAACAAAATGACAGTTGGGTCACCGCAGCAATGCCAATGGAAACATATCCAGTAGGACACATTGTAGGGAGTTGAAAGTATACCCCTAATATTCAGATAACGTTTTGGAGGATTGTCATACACCTTCAGAGCCGCGGAGACAAGATGAACCCCTCTGACCGGCGGCCACCCTCCACCCCGACTCAGCCGAGGGAGCAACGCCATCCCGGTCTCGGCCCTCGCCGGGCACTGAAGCAGGAAAGAGAGCCAGCATACCCGCTGCAAAGCTAGAGGGGCTAGCTGGAGGCCCAAGGTAAGCTTGTTACCTAAGATTTCAAGGAAGAAAACAACCCCATGGCTATTCGCCATATGGAGGCTCTTCCCAAGCGTTCCTGTGACCCGCATCCTCAGGTTGCCTGAGGAAACACAAGACTGAGGTGCTGGCCGAAAGGCGGGCCTTTTAAAAGGTTATTGGTGACGTGTTTCCTGTGGGATCGGGAGGAGCCTCCATATCTCAAGATGCTGTCCTGGAAGATGTTAGGGGGAAACTGTTGCTTCCAACAGTCCAACCAACAAGATCTCTTTATAGGGCAAAGATATACATACGTCATGGTGCTGCTTCCTCCCTGGCTGGATGACTGAGGAGCTACACCACAGACGCAGGTATTTTTTCCCCCACTTTTTTAACGATCTTGTTGCTGGTGTGATATCGCAAGTTTCACATGATCTTTAGGTCTTATGATTAACTGAAGGTGATGATAACAAGCAACAATCCAGATCTCAAGCATCACTGGGGAGGATTAGGATATTACTGACTTTCTTAAAGCACCTCTAACATCACAGGGAGATCTTTAACCTGTTGGAGAACACATGGATACATGGGTGTTGGATGCAGAAGCACATCCAGAATCTGCATGCAAGGATTTGAAGTGTTTTCCTTCAGATATGGGTGGGAAGTGCCTGCAAACAGAGCAGTGGGACAGCAGTATCTAAAGCTGGCAGGATGGTGCAAGAAACATTCAGGGCAGCAGGAAGCCCTCTCATCCTCAGTGACAACAGGGTATGTGCCCCCCTTATAACAGATTTTTGCATGGTTTCATTCATTCTTAATAAGTGCCACTGCATTATGGTTAGGACTAACTCGCAAGTGGAGCTATTTTTTTTCATGTCTGCTAGGTTTACCTGCTTTGTGGAAAATGCCTGTCTACAGACAACAGTAGCTCAAGCTCCAGTATACACGCACGCACACACACACACACCTACACCTCTGAATGAGGCAGTTTGAAACTTATGAAATAAAAAAAACTGACTATTATAATTTCTTCAATTTAACTTTTATGTAAATCAGCTGGTGTAGGGGAGAGTAGTGGGTACAGACACAAGTATGTAATCGTGTCAGATCCGGCAACTGTACCTGCTAAGGCAAGAAAGGCAGGTAAAGTACCCATTAAATATAAAAGATTATTCATCTAAAAATGTTGTCAGTAAGCCAGTTTATCTAGATCACGGAGTGCACGTCAGGCTCTTATCACATGCTTGGAACAGATGCTAAGTGTCTCCATACACACAGGTACCAGCATATGAGTTGATGCAATGGCGCCATGGGAATAGACCTTTTCCTTTGTGTCTTAGCACAGGTGTGCAGTGTAGAAGATAAACCAATAATGCTGTATCATAACTCTCAGTACTGAACAGACGTAATGCTGATCCCACGTTGACAACACTGTGTCTGGGAGACCTATGCAGAGGGATATTCTGAGAAGACAATGAACATCAAAGAGGACTTTCAGAACCACCAAATCACAGTAAGTCATGCTTGTCCTCAGGCAGTATTTAATTACCTGGACAAACAGTGTTCAATAAAAGTCGTAGGATAGAAATAGCAAAAAATCAGTCCAGATTATATTTTGTTTTTTAATGCAGTAGATTTGGACCAAAATGTATTTAACTGGACAGGAATTCTCCTCCATGCAACCAGTTAAAGTGGATCCTGTACACCAGTGGCGGATCAATTGTACCTTACCATACGTGGGCTATTTTCAATTCATACGCTGTCAGTTTAATGTGATCCTCCATAGAGGTCAGTGTACACAGACATACTGCATGTGATTTGCTTCGGCAATGGGCTTGTGGAACATTTCTACAGGAATTGGAACACAGCCTTTGAATTGGACCTTGTGAAGCGGTAAACTCATTGCAAATTGCTCATACAAAGGTGACAGAGAATATGCAAATGAGGATTCCAGGTACAGGGAGTATGCATACTTATTGTGTATGATCATACGATAATCTTAACAGAAATGTATTATTGAGGACAGTACAAGGGTTAACATTGCTGATCAACTTCTGAATCTTCATGAGCCCCCTAGAGTCTTTGGACACTGGGAAGCTACTAGTTCTGCCCTTATAATCTGCCAATATTTTATATTTCCGGGTTCCAGGTCAGCGACTAACTTTGTAGTGAAGCCTGGATTGAGAATGCGCATTGCATTAGTGCACGTTGATGCATTGCAGTTCCATTCATTTCAAATAGCACCACAATGTACAAAAAGCGCTGCGCAAACTGTTGGCACTATATAAATCCTGTATAATAATAATAATGCACCTGCACAAACATGCAGCATGCACTAAATGTTCATGTGATAAGGTTCCTTACAGCCCATAAAGCCTATTCAAGGATAACATTGCAGCGTATAAGAAGTACAAAGGTCCTGTATGGCATGATTCTACATGTAATCATAGAAAGAAAGACACTAGAGCCTAAAATTGTTGAACGTGACCTGTTAGAGCTAATCAGAAGTCTTTGGTGCATGCTGGTCTTTCTGGACCCCAAATGTGTCTGTAGAAGCTCAGTGAATGTTTCCTATGTGGTATGGCTGGCTTTGTGGGAAACGACCATCCAGACCTGCAGACATCTTTTATTCTGAGTAATACTGTATTTGCTTCTTCTGAACATCTTACAGGTTGCTTTGCGAATCCGTCCATTTAACCAGGTGGAAACGGAGAGAGGTGTTCAGTGTATTACATATAAACTTGGTGAACAAGTGAGTAACAGGATTTCTTTTTTTTATATAGTAATAATGTAAAACATTTAAACTATTTTTTAAATATTCACTACTCACAACCACTGGAAGCTACTCCACAGACCACCGATATCCTCTTCTCTGGTTCATGGGTGCGCTCTCCTTCGGGGGCCGTCCTCCCCATAGAATAGTTTGTGATGATGATGCATACCTCTTCCATGACATTAAAATCAACTGTATTTTCCAAGCACCAAAACTGATAGACACTCCACCCATTAGTACTATTAGTAGTAAATACAATTATATGTTACGAGATTGGGAATATACCTCCAAGTAAGTAGGAAGTGTTAGAGTGATTTGCTCTTTAGTGCTCATCTATGTCCATTAATGTGTGTATACATATTTCCTTCACCACCCATTCCCACTTGCTCTATGGTTAGGCACCAAATTTATCAGACACTACACCCATTACTAGTAATAGTAGCCATCCCTTTGTCAGACACTACACCCATTACTAATACTAGTACTAGCCCCTTTGTCAGACACTACACCCATTACTAGTAATAGTAGCCGTCCCTTTGTCAGACACTACACCTATTACTAATACTACTAGTAGTCCCTTTGTCAGACACTAAACCTGTTACTACTTCTAGTAGTAGTCCCTTTGTCAGACACTACATCCATTACTACTACTAGTAGTAGTTCCATACTATTACTAGAAGCAATTTGAATCACTATGATTAGGCTCCATTAAGTCACGAAACATGCCTAACATTTTGGGGCTTGGAAAATGAAGGTGATTTTAACTTCAAGGAAGTGGTGTGCAGCTCGGTCACAAACTATTAGGATCTATAGAATATGTATAAGTTTAAAGGAGTTTTCCACTTACAGCACCTTAGTGTAAAACCTTTCCAGCACCGGGCCAGTGACAAACCTAGAGATATCAGTGTGTACTACCAAGAGAAGGAGTGTGAACAAGGTGGCCCTTCTCCTAAGAGGAAAGTTGATGATACCAGTGAAAGAGCTTGTATCACTTTGCAATGGTCTTTTGTTTTTATCCTCATCATGTGGCAGCCGGTGTCACTAGGAGCTACCCCTGTGATATCTTTACAAAACCTGCAGCAGCAGTGCTCCCAGGCTGTTATGCTGCTAGGACGATAAAATATTTAAATGAATGGATTTTTAAATTTATTATAAGGGGAAACCTTAAGGTCATTGATGTTCAATCAGTTTTGTTGCTGTCCTGTGTACGTTGGTTCACCCTCGGAGTTGGTAACCAAGCAAATAGTCATACATGGGTAACATCCATAGAGAATGATGACCTGCATGTTATACTGTGTCTATGCAACTATAGAGAGAGCACCTGCTTCCAGAAGGACCAAAATACTGCATGGCCCTGGCAGTGGCGTAACCAGAGTTATGGGTGCCCGGGGCAGAATTTTTTTCGCCCCCCC